GTGTCTGTATACTTCTAAAAGGCTTTGTGTGAGGTTTTGTGTTGGCCCTATCAATTGAAAAAAAAGGAAACGTTTTCCCCACCTGATTCAGTCTTTATACTTAGAGTCCATCTGTTGCCATAGCACTGACTGTCATGTCAAAACTACAATTAGAAACACTCAGAGGTAATCAGGGAAAAGGCCAATGGAGGCTGTGCCCAGGCCTCAGTAACCCATGACTACTAGGCTAATTGAGCAATAGGAAGCTTAATTACAAGAGACCTGGTCTCAGGCTGTAGCCTTGCCTCTTACTGTGTGTGCGTGAACCATTTGTTGAGGAGAATGATCATTTCCAAGCTTGATTTTTTTTAATTTAAGTGGCATGTGTAAATCTGTTGCCAATGATGGACACACTCATTAACATCTCTGTGCCTAATTCTAATTATCTATCACTCAAGACTCTGTGTCTACCTAACTCAAAAACACCTCTGATACATGGCCACTAATACTGCTGCTTTTAGTAGGAAAGACATTGAGGTGAGCGTTGGAGAACAAGAACTTAAAATGTGGTGGACTGGGAAGTGGGAAAAGATGTATTATGAATAGTGGGGCAGTATGTGAAGAAACCAGAGGGTAGGTACGTACAGACAGCCGGGTGATGGTGGCGCATGCCTTTAATCTCAGCACTGGGGATGCAGAGGCAGGCAGATCTCTGTGAGTTCGAGGCCAGCCTGGTCTACAAGAGCTAGTTCCAGGACAGGAACCAAAAGCTACGGAGAAACCCTGTCTCAAAAAAACCAAAAAAAAAAAAGAAAAAAGAAAGAAAGAAAGAAAGATAAAAAGAAAAGAAAGAAAAAATGTACAGACTGCATAACACAAAAAATGAAGTGTGCAGGTTGGCCCGAGAGAAGTACACAAAGTGATGAGGGATGTGTGGTAAAAATGAAGCAGAGGTTGTTAAATGAAGTCAGATGCCACCCTTGGGTGAAAGGACTGAAAAGGTAGCTCAGCTGGAAAGCCGGAGACTGTGGTGTGTTGGGACTAGTGATCCTGAGCCTCTGCTATTAGTCTATGTTCGTTTGCACAAGAGGAAAAGAAGAAACCCGCTGGCTTTACTGTCATGGCTGTTTTCTTGACTTAATTCTCAGAAATTTTATGGCCTGTCCCATCACACAATCACCAGCCATATTAGCTTGCTTCTAGATCATAAAAATACAAAGTCTCAATTTCATATCTTCGTCAATTGTAGCTGCCTGATAGCTTCAGTTTTATTTATCTACAATAGATTGTGAAACATCTCTCAATATCACTTCTACCAGGAAACCTTCTTTAGGAATTTAGATTTTTCTAGATTACTGTATTCCATTTCTAGATACTTCATCCTATATCCAATTCTTAAAAATAGTATCCTGAAAGAATTATCATTGACCTAGGAATAAAGTAAAGACCCTTTACAACTTGAACTGTGTTATTTGTTTGTTTGTTTGTTTATTTATTTTTAGGTTTTTGAGATAGGGTTTCTCTGTAGCTTTTGGAGCCTGTCCTGGAACTAGCTCTTGTAGACCAGGCTGGCCTCGAACTCACAGAGATCTGCCTGCCTCTGCCTCCTGAGTGCTGGGATTAAAGGTGTGCGCCACCACCTCCCAGCAACTGTTATTTAATGTCTCTTGTTTCTTTCCAACTTAAATAGTTTGTTAACTCTCGAAGTCTAAAGACACTTTGAATCATCCATTCAACAAATGAAATGATGGGAACTCCATGGATTAGTTTCACGCTAAGGGTTGAGGCTACACTGGTGGAAACAAAACCAAACACCTTATCTGTCTACACATGTCAACCCGTTGTCTATTTCTGTATGGGATAATTGTCTCCTTGGAGTGGAGTAGCACCCCGATTACGGCCTGCATTAAAATTACCCTTAGGCATCAGAAAAGAATGTACTTTTATATTTCTGATATGAGAGAGATGGAAAACTTTCGTTTTTGAGGGGTTTGTTTACTGCTGGTTCTGATGCAACAGTACACAAAACTCAGACAGAGAAATTGTCCTAACACGTTGGTTTTCATATTGCTGTGCTGGCAGTCCTGGTAAGGCATTTATGGAATGAGATATATGAGGCAGATGGCCAATCAATAAAAGATCTACGCATTTCCTTGAGTTATTTTGTAGATGCAAATCACAATTCTACTAAAAGGCAAAAGAATTACCATCAGTAAAAAGGTCAAGATAAGGAATTGCTTGCATACAAGGATAAAGGAATTATTTTTAACCTACAGGAAGGGGGAGGGACTAGGGGAGTTTTTCTAGAGTGGTTATTCTTTGAGAGACCAAGACAAATAATAATAATAATAATAATAAAAGTCCCTGGGGCTAGAAGTGAGATTATAATTTAATGGTAGGGCTTGAGGTACTCACATCTAGTCTCAGGATGAAGGGTAAAAGTGCCTGGAACTATTCAAAATATCTTTAAAATATGTCTAGAATTTATCTACTTGAGCTACAATGAATCCTTTTTTTAAATTTTATTTATTTATTTATTTATTTATGGGTCTCACTGTGTAGTCATGACTATTCTGGAACCAGATATTTAGAGCAGGCTGTCCTGGAAGTGTCTCAAGTGCTGGGATCAAAGGTGTGAGCCAGTATGCCCTGTTTATGGTGAGTCTTTCATTTAATATTTTAATATCACTTATAAAGACCATAGTTTTTACAATTTTATGTAGCACGTAATTTCTGAAAATAGTTAAAAACCATCTGGGGAAAGAGGTCTTCCATGTATCCCAGGTTGGCCTGTCACTCAGTAGATAGCCTCTGCTATCCTGGAACCCACAGTGAGGCTCAGCCTGTCTTTGGCCCCTAAGTGCTGGTAATTCCAGACTGCTGTAAATATCACATCTTCCAAATCTGTCAGGGACTTGGGTGATTTTTGTTGGTCAATTCTGTTTATTGAAAATGCCTGTGTTTTAGTTACGGTGTCTATTTTTTAGTATGACTGATAGATGGATGTCCAGAGCAATTTCAGAGAAGTTAAAAACCATTTTTGTTTTGTTTTTCAAAACAGAAGATTTCTCTGTAGCCTGTCATGGAACTCACTCTGTAGACTAGGCTGGCCTCGAACTCACAAAGAGCCACCTGTCTCTACCCCCAGAGTGCTGGAATTAAAGGTGTGTGCCACTAAAACCTGGCTGTAACCTGACAGTCTTTAACAGTGAAAATGTGAAGGACAATCCCATAGGCCTCAGATGTTTTGTTTGATTGATGTGTTGTTCTTTTTAAAATCAGGCAGGTAAGAAGAAGGCTTGCAGGGCTTGCCATAAAGCCCAGCATACAGGGGCATACAGAAGGACTGCGAATTTGAGAACAGTTTGAACTACGTACACAGTGAATTCCAGGCCAACCTGGGCTAAGGAAGAGTTCTGTGTCAAGACAAAACAAACAAAACAAAACAAAAAACAAACAAACAAAAACCCTAGTTTTTTTTTTTTTGTACACTTGATATATTTTGTTTGTTTGGTTGTTTTTTTGTTTTTGTTTTCAAGACAGGGTTTCTCGGTAGCTTTGGAGCCTGTCCTGGAACTAGCTCTTGTAGACCAGGCCTGCTTCTGCCTCCCCAGTGCTGGGATTAAAGGCGTGTGCCACCACCGCCCTGCAATGTATTGATTTATTGAAAAAAAATGATATCCGAATATAACAAAGTAGGCTGCGGGGCAGGTGCACGACGCAGGCAGGGATCTCAGTGAGCTCAAGGTCAGCCTGGTCCACAGAGCGAGCTCCCGGACGGGATGGTTTGGTTACACAGAGAAACCCAGTCGAGAAACCCAGTCTCGAAAACCAAAAAGACAAAAACCCCCCAAAATCCACCACCACCACCAAAACCAAACCGCTCAGGCTGATTGGCAGTGAAGCCTGCTTTAATTCCAGCACTCTCCAGGAGGTAGAGGAAGGTGGCAAGCGGATCTGTGTGGGTCTGGGGCCAGCCTGATCCTCAAAAATAAACTCCAGGACAGCCAGGACTACACGGACTGCATTTCAAAGAGAGACTATGATTCAAAATTAAAGAAAAAATTTTTTAAAAAGGCCACAACTACCTAAATGTGTAAAATAAAAGTTAAATAAATCCGATTAACACATAATCTGCAGCCATACTTTTTAGTTGATTCCAATTTAGCATTAAAGTTGATTAATATTAGTAAGAATTGAGAAGAATGACCACCTCCCTGTGTGCGGAGAAAAACTTAAAAGGATTAACAGTTTCAATAAGCAATAACGTGGGGGCTGGACGGCAGTTATCAGCGCTTTAGTTTGTCTTTCCGGGCTTTTTTTTTTTTTTTTTTTTTTAATGTTTCTTCTTTCTTAGGGGCTGGAGAGATGGCTCAGCAGTTAAGAGCACTGGTTGTTCTTCCAGAGGACCTGGGTTCAATTCCCAGCACCCACATGACAGCTAATAACTGTCTGTAACTCCAGTTTCTGGGGACCTGATTCCTTCACACCAATCCACATAAAATAAAACTAATTAAAAAAAAATGTTTCTTAAGGTGTTTTAATTTTAAGGGACAAATATTAATACTTTTTAATCTCATGATCCGGAATATAATTTTAAATATTTCAAATATTCTATACCAAACATGCATCAGAAACTAAAACATCAAACTTTAAATCAGCTTCCGTTTGGCGGTTTCCCGCTCGTGGAACGCAAAGAAAACCGCCCCTGTGGACCGGAAAGGTCAACGCTGACGCTACCTGTTACCACAGTGAAGTTCGGTCGGCCATTTTTAATGTGGTCAGTTCTAATGCATCCGGTGACGGCAGGAAGAGGGGGGCGGGACGCTGGAGAAATTCGACCAATAGAATCACGGAAAGGAAACACGCTGCCTGTAACCAGGCACGAACAGAAGAGCGCGCGACCGGAGGCGGAAGGCGTTAGGCAAATTAGTCCGGTCTTAGGAAGCAGTTTCGGCGACCTAGCGGAACTATGGACTTATAGCGGAAAGGTTTCTGCCCGGAGTGTGACAACTGCTTCCGTTACACAGCGGAAGTGTGGTTCGCCGAAGGACGACTCTTGGACGAATTTGGCCTCCGTTGCATGCTCGGCCGAAATCATGTCGAGTTTGGCGGTGAGAGACCCAGCCATGGATCGCTCACTGCGTTCGGTGTTCGTGGGGAATATTCCGTACGAGGCGACGGAGGAGCAGCTGAAGGACATTTTCTCGGAGGTTGGTTCAGTTGTCAGTTTCCGTCTCGTGTACGATAGAGAGACAGGAAAGCCCAAGGGGTATGGCTTCTGCGAGTACCAAGACCAGGAGACTGCGCTTAGTGCCATGCGGAACCTCAACGGGCGAGAATTTAGTGGGCGGGCGCTTCGGGTGGACAATGCTGCCAGCGAAAAGAACAAGGAGGAGTTAAAGAGCCTGGGCCCGGCAGCGCCCATCATTGACTCTCCCTACGGGGACCCTATTGATCCAGAAGACGCCCCGGAATCGATTACTAGAGCAGTCGCCAGCCTACCCCCCGAGCAGATGTTCGAGCTGATGAAGCAGATGAAGTTGTGCGTCCAGAACAGTCACCAGGAAGCTCGAAACATGCTGCTTCAGAACCCACAGCTGGCGTACGCCCTGCTGCAGGCCCAGGTGGTGATGCGAATCATGGATCCAGAGATCGCACTGAAAATCTTGCATCGTAAGATACACGTCACCCCACTGATCCCAGGCAAATCTCAGCCTGGTCCTGGGCCTGTCCCTGGTGGTCCAGGCCCTGGCGGTCCAGGCCCTGGCCCCGGCCCTGCCACTGCCCCTGGACTCTGCCCGGGACCTAATGTGATGCTGAACCAACAGAATCCTCCAGCCCCTCAGCCTCAGCATTTGCCAAGAAGACCTGTGAAGGACATTCCTCCTCTGATGCAGACTTCTATACAGGGAGGAATTCCAGCTCCGGGACCAATACCAGCCGCGGTTTCTGGACCTGGACCTGGGTCCTTAACTCCAGGAGGAGCAATGCAGCCACAAGTGGGCATGCCAGTGGTTGGTCCCGTGCCCTTAGAGCGAGGACAGATGCAGATGTCAGATCCGAGACCTCCAATACCTCGTGGACCCATGCCTTCTGCTGGCATACCTCCCCGAGGACTGCTGGGAGATGCTCCAAATGACCCACGCGGGGGGACTTTGCTGTCAGTTACTGGAGAAGTAGTAGAACCCAGAGGTTATATGGGTCCACCCCACCAGGGGCCCCCCATGCATCATGGCCATGACAACCGAGGCCCTTCCTCGCATGATATGAGAGGAGGACCATTAGCAGCCGATCCTAGAATGCTCATCGGAGAGCCCAGAGGTCCCATGATAGATCAAAGAGGTCTACCTATGGATGGTAGAGGGGCCAGAGAGGCTCGAGGGATGGAGACTCGGCCCATGGAAACTGAGGTCCTGGAACCACGAGGAATGGAGAGAAGAATGGAGACCTGCGCGATGGAAACCAGAGGGATGGAAGCAAGAGGCATGGATGCAAGAGGACTAGAGATGAGGGGCCCTGGCCCTAGCTCCAGAGGCCCGATGACTGGTGGAATCCAGGGGCCTGGCCCTATTAGTATGGGGGCAGGTGGCCCTCAGGGACCTAGACAGGTTCCAAACATTGCAGGAGTGGGAAATCCTGGAGGTGGGATGCAGGGAGCGGGTATACAAGGAGCAGGGATGCAGGGAGCGGGCATACAAGGAGGAGGAATGCAGGCAGCAGGCATGCAAGGAGGGATGCAGGGAGCTGGCATGCAAGGAGGAGGGATGCAGGGAGCTGGCATGCAAGGAGGAGGGATGCAGGGAGCTGGCATGCAAGGAGGAGGGATGCAAGGAGCGAGTAAGCAAGGTGGAGGTCAGCCTAGCAGTTTTAGTCCTGGGCAGAGCCAGGTAACGCCACAAGATCAGGAAAAAGCAGCTTTGATCATGCAGGTTCTTCAGCTGACTGCAGACCAGATTGCCATGCTGCCTCCTGAGCAAAGGCAGAGTATCTTGATCTTAAAGGAGCAAATCCAGAAGTCCACTGGTGCTTCTTGAAAGGTTTCTGATTAGGAAGTACTTAGTTATTCCTTCAGTGTTTTCAGTATTGTGTGGCCTGAAAGGGTTACAGGATGCTATCTTCTGTGTTGCCATACTGTAATGATAGGAGGTTTCCCTCTCCCTGGTTAGTCATATTTCTAGTCTTTGCACTTCCTTTTTTCCTTTTGATTGAGGGTGGGGGTGGAGGGAGTGGGCCTGTTCACTTTGTCACTGTTACTCCACTAGGAACCTGGAAAGGACATCACACCAGATAAGGGGGTGCAGTAATAGTAACGTGTCTGCACTCTGGGCTACATTTTATAAATACTGAATAAGCTGAGAACTACATAAACACTGAAAGTGGCCTGTTACAGTATTGATGCACTAAGACGTTTAAAGACGTTTGGTTGTATATTGAACTGAATGTCAAAATGTGAAGATACACTTTGGTAAACCAAAATACTAATTCTGTTTTGAAGGCAGTAGAGTACGGTGTTATGGTCAATGTTTTAGTTATTTTGAATTATTTTGAAATGTTAGAGGTAACAGTCTATAGTAAAATTTGTGACAACAGAACTGTTTTTTAAAAGCTCTGTTACCAGAAAACTCAAGATGCTTCATTTTTCTGGCTCTTCCGATACTTTTACTATACTTGGCAGGAAGTTAGAAATCTTAGGCTTGACATTTTGACTTGTCTTACAGTCTGATGACTTCCGTAAACTACGTTCCTGTCATCATCTTACTAGAACTGAGGCCCAAGTACATGGCAACTCTGCTCAGTTAACTTACTATTTTAATTCTTACATAAAGGCCATTTGGTCATATACATTCCTACAAGATACATTTTAAAGTAAGGAATGTGGAGTTTATATTTCCTTTAGAGCTACAATCTTAGCTTTTGCTTTGAGCGTGTGGCACCTAGACGTTGTGTCATAGTTGATGAAAGAAGCACAAGCTCCCGCGTGACCAAGTGACCTTCCTCTGTAGGTTAATAAACACCCATCCTCAGAGGGAGAGAGCTGACACAAGGGGTTTTCCCCTTGCAAAGGTTCTTGCATTTTAAGTGTACAAAGTTTTCATCCCTAGGCTGTATTCCTACAGTTTAGTTGTTTTGTGCTAGTGTTAAGCTTCCTGTGTTTCCTCTGTCTGCCCTGTGCTGGAGTGGATTAGTGTTTGTATCTTTGTGCTAGTTCTGCCTGATTGCAATTGCTTGTTTCTTTTGAAATTATAGTTCCTGCCAAGAAAAAAAAAAAGAAATTATAGTTCCTAGCTCCAAACTTCTCATTGACTAGTCTTTGTTATAAGAAAATCTGTGCACTGTTTAATGAAGCATAAATAAAAAGGTTGTATAAGGTATTTTGTATGTTTAATTTCTTTTAATACATTGGGAAGTACCTCCTTTAAGGGATATGTACATATAATGAAAAAAGCAAAATAAGAAAATTGGTGAAAATCTTTTAATTATATATGTGATTCAACAGCTGGAATACTGGGACGACTCTGCCACTCTTGTGATCGGCAGTGGCATCTAGGTGATCCTGCCCACGGTAGATATAATTAGTGTCTCTCTTTGAAAACTGTGTTCCATGAACACCTTTCAAGTTTCTTAAGCAGCGACAGCATTTGTTTTTCTGTAAAGTACCATGGTCACTCTATCCACAGCCCCCAACTTGTACTACTTATAATAGACAGCAAATAGGGGACATGAGAAGTGACTTGTTCTTGTATGTGCTATAGTTAACATGAAAAGATGGGCAAAACATTCAGTTTTAGTGGGAAAAAAATCTTTTCATTAAGAACAAGTTTATCCCCAAGGGACTGAGATTGATCTTAAAACAAATGAACTATAACACTATTTGCATTAAGATACAAATTAGAAGAATGTGCCTGTAATCTCCAAAGAGAGGTGGAGGCAGGAGAATAAGGAGTTTGCGGCCATCTTGGGCCACTTTCATTTCTTTAGGGTTTCTCATTCTCAGGTAGTACATGCTTTATCTGAATATTGAATTTCAGTAGTACCTTCCCAACAGCCTTTCCTTCCCCATTACTGATGACTGATAAGCAAATGGATTTTCCAGGGTTCTAATTTTGGTTATAAGGTATACACTGATGTGGATCTGGCTAAGGTAGGCTAATCTAAGTGAAATTGTATAGATGGCTGGAATTTTGGTGGGAAAGCTTTCCTTTTGTTTTTTGTTTTTTTTTTGTTTGTTTGTTTGTTTGTTTTTTTCTGTTTTTTCCAAGACAAGGTTTCTCTGTAGCTTTGGTGCCTGTCCTGGAACTAGGCTGGCCTCGAACTCACAGAGATCTGCCTGCCTCTGCCTCCCAAGTGCTGGGATTAAAGGCGTGCGCCACCACCATCTTGCTGGAAAAGCATTTTTTAAAATGTGTATTAGCTTGCAAAGCCTGCTTTTCCATATTATGATGGGACACTGAGAAATCCTGCAGAACCTCATCTCCTAGGTGTGTTGGGTCTTGGACAATTACAGGCAGACACCTCCTGAGCCTTCTCACTAAGATGTCTGCTTGGATTTCTCCGGTTGAAGTATGTTTCTCATGGGGTATTTTCAAGAATACAACCAAGGAGATTTATATTGAAATTATTCATGTTTTATTAATATAAATTAATATTAGTAAAGCAATATGTCAATAATAAGTACTATTTATGTACATAGTATTAATGTATACATGTGCTTATATATTTATATAATACACATAATTATACAAGTATTTACAATTATATATAATGTATGTATATGCTTATATAGTTTAGATATAATTATAAGACCTTTTAATGGTTTTATGTGTGTTTATGTATTCAAACAAAAGTTTTTCTTGTTTGAAATTCTTTTTGAGACAAGGTCACACTATCAAAAAATAAAAGAAACACACTAGGTATTTACTAAATACTATGATGAGAGTACTCAGCTACCAGATACATAGGAAAATACTACTTTGTAACTGACCTGATTTAAGGTAAATACACTAAATCTTTGACTAAATAATTTTGTTTGATTCAATATGCATAGTATTTATAGACATTTAGAATGAACAGTTTGTTTTAAAAAAGTTGATTTTTTTTTAAATCCACTAAATTAATGATCTGTCAGCATTGGAAATGGAATGGATAATCTTACAGGCAAAGAGAAGTGAAAACAGTTTCCTCCAAACCATTGTGTCTCACTTAATTGTTTTAAATCAGAATTCTGTCGTTCCATGAAAAAATATTCTGCAGTAATTCTGCAAAAATGTATGAACCATTTTTCACCCACCTCATCTTAACTGCCAACCGCCTGCAGTTAAGATGCAGCGACTTGTGCTGATTTTCGGAATCCACTTACATGTTTCTTGTGGACTTTAATGAAAAGGTTCCAAATTAATCATCCTCAGAAAAAAATTAATTTGCAGTAACTCAGTTTTCAATTCCCTTTGTCTTAAGCATTAGCTGTAATAGCATTTGAAATGTGTGTCAATTTAAAAAATAGCACAGTTGAGTTAATGTAATGGGACTTTATTGGCTTTGCATAAAGCATTAACATTCATAAAAAATACTGGATATCCGAAGAATTACACTTCCTCATGTGTTGGATCACTATAATAGCATACAGCATGACCAAAAATACTGGCAGAATAAAACATAATAAATTGCCTATTAGGATTTACTCTTTCCTTTGAGGCTACTCCTAAAATGACTTCATCTTTATGTAGTGGTGAGGGAAAGTTTTCTGCCTCATCCCATCAGCAACAGAGGAAATACGCTGCTGGAGCCTCTAGGATTGTCACTGTTTACTGCGAACATGTTGTCTTTAATACCTTCAGGCAAGAACTACTGACTTGGTGGCCGGCCAGCCAAGGGATTCTGCCTGCACGCAGGTTTTGTTTGACTAGCTCAGCTTTTTCAAAACTTATTTTTAATGTCTATGTTTCTCCAGTTCTGCCACAGACTCCACCTCTTCTTTGATTTGTGCAGTTAGAAGACTACCAGTGAATCCCTATAATACTGTCAACTGAACTGTTCAGTGTAAACACATGGTTCTCCTGTCCATTGTTATCATCAGTGTCTAATTTGACCGGGATGAAATAAGACAATATGTTTAGCAAGTGGTCTCTTCCGTGTACTCAACGTAAAAGCCAACCAAATAGCTCAGCTAGCCAAAACAGTGAAAGACCATGAACTGTTAATATAGTTTTCTATGTTGGCCAAAGAGATTCCCACAATGCCTGGCCAATTATACATATTGTTCTCATAAACTTTTTGCACTTTTAGTAAATATTTACCCCAAATACCTACAACTTCTTTTTTAAAAAATTATGTTTATTTGTGTGTGTTTCCTACACTTCACTGAAGTCCTAACAAAATACATTTAAATGGTCTTTCCCCTTTTCCATTTCCTTGTTATTTTTATTTCCTGTCTTTGTTTGCTTTTTGTCACAATATATTTGTGTGTGTGTGTGTGTGTGTAAGTAAACATAGAAGTCACAGAACAACCTGTGGGAGTTGTTTCTCTTCTACCATGTGGAACCCAGAGATTGAATTTAGGCAGGTAGTCTTGGTGGCAAGTACCTTTGTCCAGTGAGCCATCTTGTTGCCCACCCTTCTTTCTGATTAGTCATGGGTAGTTACCCTCTCTGAACACCACTTAAATATTTAATAGGATTGAGCTGTGTTCTTTTTCAGAGCATATTGATTTATGCACATGAAATTTGATGACTGCCATTAGTGAAGTACTAATTATTATTCTTGTGTTATAGTTATGGCAACCGTGTTTGGCCCCAAACTTCTATTCATTTTATTTATTACTATAATATACAGATGTGAAACCAGACTAGTGGTGCATGCTAATTTAATCCCAGCATTCAGGAGATTTAGGCAGGTGGATATCTGGGTTCAAGGTTAGCCTGATCTACTGAGGAAATTCCAGGATATTCAGGGCTATCCAGAGAAACCTGTCTGGAGAAAAATGTTGTCTGTATGTGTATAATCATAAACAGATTTAGGTAAACATAACGGCCAACGTTTAGGTAAACAATGTGTATGTAAAGTATGTTGCAAAAATACATAACTATTTAAAACTGTTGAATGATTTGAAGTTATATGTGTATGTGTATATCACATCAGTTGTGTTTTATTGTAAGTTAACACCCTGCTTGTGCTGCTATTTATTATATAATATTAATATGATATAGGTATAAACTGCCATAAGTATAAAAGGTTATTTCTATGAAAACTATTGAATACATGAGAAAGATTTTATAAAATTATATTAAAAATAAATGCTAAATTCTGCAAAGGAAAGATAACTTTTTAAATATTTTAGCAGAGCATGATAGCACAGGCCTTTAATCCTAGCATTCACGAGGCAGTGGCAGGCAGATGGAACAGTGAACCAAGCCATCCTGGTCTACACAGTATGGCCCTGTCTCAAAACCAAAAATTGCTTTAAACATATTTGGCTAAGTATTCAAATCTTTTAATCCATTCATTCCTCACTTCAACTGAAAGGAACTTTGAAGGTTTGACAAATGGTGTCGTGTCAGTTTTCTCAGGAATTTTTCAGATAATGAAAGGGAAAACATCCTCAGGAAATCTTAGGCTTGGTGCTGCTAATCATCAGCCCTCCATCTCCACAGGGATCACTCTACAAAGACAGCAGCTTGTCACCTTTCTGGTCCTCCTCCCTCCGGCTCTCCCTGGGGTTAACCACTCAAGCAAACTGGATATACTTTAATCTCCCCCTAATTAAAGCGGTCCTTGAACCGGCAGTGTGGGTATCTCCTGGGAGCCTGTTAGAAATGAAGACTCTTGTGTAGCACCCCAAACCTGCTGAGTCCGAATTTACATTTTAATAAAATCTCCAGGGACCATAGCCAAAAGTTTCCTTGTCAAAAACTGCCTAAAACATAATTATAAAATAATAAAATTGAAAACAAAGTACTTTAAGGACTACTATTTTGAGGATGTTTTCATTTACCCAGTAACACAGAAGACCAAAGCTAGCAATTCTCTGTACCCCTTTACTTACGTAGTAAAGCTGTATTCTGTACAAGAAGAAAAGTAACACAGAGTTAACAAGGGTGACGGCAATCTGATGTGGAAAACCCTTCTGGAACTGCCTCTGACCTAGCATGGTCCAAGCTTCTGCAATCTTGTTTTGGACAAACCAGTAGAAATAACATCGGGGTTTTGTCTAGCTTGAGCTCGCGTGGCTTATTTATTTCTCCCCTCTATAGCTTCATCCACACACTAGAAGGCGGATTTTCTAAAGTATGTTTCCTTTGTCCAAGACAAACTTTAAAAACCTTATAACAAAGCTTTGGGAAGTGTTTGTCCTTATTATAATGTTGTTTATAGGG